TCTTCTTCTTCTTCTTCTTCTTCTTCTTCTTCTTCTTCTTCTTCTTCTTCTTCCTTCTCCTTCTCCTTCTTCTTCTTGATTTCAATTTTTATATGGAGTAGCGGAAACTTAAACAGGTGACTGCCTAAGAAGAGGAATCCTTGAAGTTTACGTGACTGTCTGATCTTATTTTTTCATCGATGCCGCCTGCTCCCTGCTTTCAGTTCGTTCCCAAACTAACAGTGGAGGTTCTCGAGCATCTTGAGTCTATCTTAGAGACTAACCCTCGCCCCATCTCGCCGGCGGGATCTGTCAAGAGAGTGTTTTCATGGTAACGCCCATGCTCCGCTATGCCTGCCCCCGCCTTCGGTGTTCTGCTGATATACTATGTGTTGGATCGTGATGAAATTAGTCGCTCGTCAAAATAATGGAGTCGAAAAAATTGGCTTTTTGGGGGGCAATTTTTTGCGATTTTGCTTTTCCTTTTTCTATGAACACTTTTTATGTCCTTTTAGAAACAAAATTTAAAATCTATATAGAAGTTCCTGAGGAAAAAAAACCGATTCAAGGCTAAAGAACACTGTACTATTAGTAAAATTTCCAGTTTCAAATAACACTCAATCTTTGGGAGTCAAGAACATTGGAAGGCATTTTCTCTTCATTGTTACTTCTAACGGGACCCTCACCTCCCTCAATCGCAATAGATATCTTGACTTTTATTCGAGATAGATGGTTATTTGACCCCAAAAGAAGAACCATACGATGGGTTTTTATTATATCAATATCTCTATTTGCCCCAAAAATGACGAGTGCCTGATTCCACCGCGGTGTGACACATACCTGCGTCTGATTGTCATGTTGATGGACTTTAAGTAGATGCTACATCGTTATGTTGTCTTTATGTGGGGTTTCCAGACAGATGAATATTTCCTTCTCAAGCGCATTTTTTTAGATGGAGGGTGGGGAAGGTGGGTATGTGGATATTCTTCCACGACTGAAAGTCCAAACGAAGTTGAATTGAATGATTGAACTAAATTACTTCGTGTAGGCTTCATAAGTTGTTTATTTTACATGAAGATGCCAATTTAAAAAAAATAAATAAAAGGCTGTTTTTTATTATACAGTAATAAACAATCACTGAAGATACGAGAAAAGCAAACAGGACAGTCTTACGTGTGGTTTTCATTAAAGAGCTGGATTTAATGAATATGGGTTTTTTGTTGATATACCCGTTAGGAATAAGGTACCAACATTGATTCACTGTGTACTAAGAAAACATAATAATATGCATAATTTGAAGGAACGCTTACGGTCTGAAAACCCTTTGTCTTCTGAGTACCGTTTGTTGTATTGCCATTTTGATGTACATCCATATTGGAGACTCAAACCTGAACAAGTGAAGAATTCATTTCTGTTGTGTATTCTACTTACGAACAGTCCAAAAACACCAACAGCATTAAACATTCATAAATGAAGCAACTTCTCGGGTTGTGTTCCACAGTTTAACATAAGACTTCATCAAACTTTACATGATTGTGACTTGTGCTACCGTAGGCTAGACATAATTGTTCTCTAGGCTACGTGTTGCTCTTTTCCTGCTCTCAATACCGATATACTAACCATTATAGTACTCGTTATGCAACACTTAAAGTGGTTACTCATATTACATCATGATTACTTTACTTTACAACAATTTCGATGTCTGGATGTGGAGCAAAATGAAATGGATTCTCTACCGAGTTCTTATGAGTGGCGGGCACCATCTGAACCAGGTATTGATAAGAAACCGACGATCTTGATCATTTTTCGTGATGCTTATCATTGTTCTATATTATGTTGTGTCTGGTCACTTATACTTGAAGTTCTTTATTCTGGTAGGTTTTTTACCTAATGTAAGCCAGTTTTTTGGGGGGTGGGTTTTTTGGAGGGTGGGTTTTTGGGGGGGTTCTTTTAGGGTAACACAAACAGCATACATCAGTGGGCTGGAGAGAAAGAAGAAATTAACTAGAAACACAAACCTTTTACTAACCTGACAGCACTAGCGAGTATTATACAATTGTTAACATTAGTTCGCGCACATTTCATTCACAAACACATAGTCGTGTCCTATAAGGTGAACAACCCCCCCCCCCCCCCCCCCAAAAAAAAACAACAACAACAAAACAACAACAAAAAACCCAAAAAACCAACACACACAGAGACAGAAAGAAACCATTTAACAGTTTGGAACTGGCAACAAAAGAATGAACAGAAAAAAATAGTCTATTAAATATAAAAATGAACACGTAAGCCATTCATCTTTACGTGAACCAGCCGTAGAGTTTTAATTTGCTCAAGACTGCAGGTCAAAGTTTGACGGTAGAAGATTTATTTGTTATGTTCCGGAAGGAGCCTGTGGTGAAATAGTTAGAAGTTTTAGTTTTGTAATCAGATGACAAGAGCTCTATTCCCAAGTGAAGAAGTTACTTTTCTCAAGCAAGACGTCCATCCTTTTGGTGGAATTATGCGTTCCATCCACCTCGAATCGCTCTGACAGACAGTATCGAGCCAGAAAGCCCTCTTAATGAACTGATATTGTGTGGGCAGGTATGAAAAGTAGTTACAACCTATCATCCCAATACGAAGAACGAGTCTCACAGCTAGGTGTGCATGGGCATGAACTTGTGCATGCAGCCCCTGCATTCTTAAAAGGCAGTGTTGGTTTTATGCCCACTGTTGTCTTACTTCTACAACAAACACCCACACAATCACAAGCAGCTATTCCACGTTTTGTCAATGATCTACGTTTGGTATTAGAATCAATAGAAGGCCGTCTCACATTATTTGAACAATAATTAGTTTCATTGTCTCTATTTCTTTGATTTAATCACCGTTAAATGCTAGATCTGATGATCATGGTTGTTAATTTTTTTCTCCTTTCTGATGCTCTCTAAAATCCTTTATCAATATCCATTGGTTTAAGTTATTCAAACCAGTTTCTCTGGGTCTCCCCCTTCATATTTGTGTCTTCTATTTTTTTCATCGAGAACAAGATGTTCAAATCCTTTATGTTGATGTAGGGATTTTATTTTTCTCCAACGTATGAACTCATGATTCTGATACCCAAATTCGAATTGGCAAAATGCTGGACATCAAAATCTACTTAATTTGTGTCCTGAGTTAGTTATTGTTGTTTCATAATGATGGACATTACACGTAGGGCTTAAAGCTGCAACACTATACCCCCAGACCCACCATATGGGTAATGATTCTTTGTTGGTTAATAGGAGAGTTATTGTCGATGGTCTTGTATGTATTTTTCAATGTAATGTAGATTTCTATGTAATATGGTATTTGTTGTCTTGTGGGTAAAAGTCTGGTGTACTGTTGTACGGTGACCGCTAGTATAGAGGAAATTCGTTTCCTTGTGAATTGTGCATGCTGGATATCTGTTGTCTCAGGAGCAGTTGCTTTGAAATCATGTCCCCATACGTTTTCGTTTCAAAGTGTCACGAGGGCTTGCGTAATGGTTACCCATCTGGTCTGTATCGTGCAAGTATGCATATTGTAATGTATTATGTGACCCTCAATCTATATTGATATTCGTCGTGTCATTATCCATGTGGCTCATATTCTTATAATGAATGTTCTTATGGATTTGCAGCATGTCAAAATACGAAATGATAAGACCAAACAAAACAAAGCAAAACACCTCATTTCATCCCCTACTCTTACAAAACAAATCTTATTTTTTTAATGTTATTGTGCAATGACTCGCTGTTTGAAGAAATTGTTTCAACGAGGATATGAGACCAAAAGTACCGTATCACGGTATATTGCATTCTTCAGAGGGAACCAGGTTTAATAGTTCATGGAAACAGAGAGTTGTACCACAAATATACTGGGTAACATGATAAAACATAAATATATCATTTAGAAATGTAATGTCTTTGGAGAATTTATAAAAGGACACCACTAAAGCTTGAAAATAAAACTGCTATCGTTTTTGCTTTTTCAGATAAATTTAATGTTAATTTGGGTCCGGGGGGGGGGGGGGGGGGGGGGGGGGCTTTAAAAAAAAAAAATAATTTGGTCGCCTATCCTCGACATGTGTCCATCTATGATTTTTTTAAAAATGTAAAGAAGAATATACAAACTTGTGACCTGTGCTTTGTGTGTCCACTGAATTGATGTGCTTCAATGATATGCAAGCATTACTTTCATAGCAGTCAACAATATTATATATGTATAAACATCTTTTCTATTTTTTTTTTCACCTCAGTCAGTAACTTATGAATAACTATCTTTCCGAGATACTTTCAAGCGATTCATTAACATATTTTAAAATTCAGAATTATGAGTCAGATTATTAGTTGTTTTTTTAAAAATCAATGACACTCATGTTTCTCCTATTGATTCGTCGACATTACAATACATTCTATCAGACACGACAACTTTTTTTCCAGCATATGTGATAAGTAGCCTATTAATATATTTTTTTACGTTTTACGCTAGCAAACTAGGTTTAAATTCCGTGTTTGAAATAACAAACTAGAGAGAGAAATCAATTGATGATTGAAAAGTGCGAAATTGTTTAGGATTAACAGCCCTTGCAACATTGTAAGGTTATTTAAAATCAAAGTAGCACCCCCCACCCCCCACCCCCCCAAACAAAAGACATATTATATTTGCAAACTTCCATGGTGTAGTACTCTCTGGGGTGTTTACTTTAATTTTTTAAACACATAAGCACTGATATGTGTATGATTTCGTAATGTCTTGGAGTTTGATCCTTGATTCAAGACATCACCTTTTCCAAACTAGGACACAGCTTTTTGCTATAACAAATTTCTTGCGTATTTTATATGACATTTTATTCTCCCCCTCTGGAAAGAATCAGAGAGTCATATATTATATGGTGTCAGTTTTTGGGCATACGGAGTTGATGGTATCATTTTAAGGCCTGTCCATTTTTCTTGTTTTGGGTAAAAATAATATCCATCTATGTTGAATAGAAGTCGAGATATGTGTGATTGAAGTAGGTGAGGGTCATCTGGTTTCAGGGGTAAAATTAGCAAGAAAATGGCCGCCAAAGTTGAATTACTTCTTTAGCTTGAGAGTCCGTGGAAAATTTACGTTTCTTCTGCTTTTAATCAACGTTTTTCAGTAAAAAGTTAAGTGTGCTTTTTAATGGGCGTGAAAGGTATTGAACTAAAATAAAAAAATTCGATAAAAATTCCCAAAACCTGCGGGAAAATGCCAATTTCTTGGCCTTCATTATTTTGACAAGCACCTGATTTCAGAACGCTGCCTCACAAATAATCTAATATGTCGATGGAAGAACAAAGTGTCTTCTTTTAAAATCAAACAACTTCTGGCTAGTTGAAAGTAGGAGTCGGTAGTGTCGTGACGCACGTTAAGTGTCACAAATAGGCGTGAAATCAGCTGTGTCTGTGACCTTTAACATCAATCCAGACACTAAAATCACGTGTACGTTGCCTGATTAACGTCAAGAAAGGGTTGATATTAGCATGCACACGTTTTAGCTCGTAATATCGTTTGTTGAAATTAAATACATTGGCCACCATATTTGTTCACTCTTCATACAGAGAATACTTGTTTCTGACGATTTTGGACTGATTTTAACAACCTGCATTAACTCTCTTATTTCACCTCACCAGCTAAATTAATATCCTGGAGAAGAAACACTTTGAACATTCACCGAGCCAGACTGCTCTTTAAATAAACTACTTTTATTCTGTCCTGCTCACTACATGCCTCACTTTGTTTCCTAAAGATATTAAAATGTTTCGTTGTTTTCTTTTCCTCTTTTCCCCAGTACGTGCCCAAGCTGACTGGAACAATTCTGGAGGAAATAGAGCGAATTCTGGGCAGTAAACCAATGATCCGGGAGCAGTCCAGGTGACACAATACACTTTCTAGCCCCCCCCCCCCTGCCCAAACTTCGCCTCTCCTCGTTCACCCAGCAACCTTTGACTTCAAGGCCAAGGCTTTTTTTTCCTTCTTTTTTTCCCCTTTTCTTTCGAACAGCTGACTGAAAGAAAGGATGCCGACTTTCGAAATCCAATCCAAACCTAAAGGAAATACCCATTCCCTTCCCTTTCCGTCTCCGCCCTCTCACTCTCCCTTTTTTTAAGAAGACATACGAAATTCCAATATACGAGGGCAGAGTTCTCTTAAAGAAGCGTAGTCCGTCAATACAGTATGTTATTCTGTATAACCTCATGCTCATTCCTTGCATGACAAATTATTTGAAATGATTGTTTGACTTCGTTTGGTTTGGATTTGTGTGCGTTAGTAATTTTGTAGTAAGATTTAAATTATTAAAATTGACATATTACGAATACGAAGTGACAGTCCATTCTTAACCCCTCATGATTGGATAAACTGATTTTTTAAGGTTTTCTTTAGATTGTTCTTCAATTTTTTCTTCACACTCTTCCCTTTACTATTGGGTGGGAGGGAGGAGGGAGGAAAGATTTCAGTCTATAATCTTAAAAGTCCAACATTAAATTTTCTTTGTTTTCAAATCGTGTATGAGGATTTACAAAAAAACGAAACGAAAACTGAATAGTGCATGTTAATTTGGTGTTTGAGATAGAAATTCAGAGCTTCCATGATGGACTGCTGTTTCATATTTGTCTTAATTGAAATTGCATTAATTATTACAAATAGGTTACATGTCTTACAATTTAACATAAATGAATAACTGTAGTTAGAGCAACAGCATAGTCTTTCTAACATGTGCACACGTTTTGCATTTTGAATGCTGCCGCAAATACCTATTTCCTAACGTAATTGACGATTTTTATTTCGTCTGTCTGATGAGATCCACTTTTGTACCCTCTTCTGTGCAATGTTGGCGCCACCGACAGTCGAAATTGCTCTTGACGGTCACCCGTCGTCGAGTATAGAAGGGGGCCTCTCTTAGACAGGAGGTCGTCTTATACAGAGTCATAATGTTGAAAAAGACGCAAGGGCGAAGTGGCAGTTGGGATGTGGTCGTTTGTACTGGTGATTATTTCGGATAGGCGGTCGTTAGAGGAAGGTTTGACGACAGCATTTTTTTGTAAAATGAGTCCATTTTAAAAAATCTGGTCTAAGGGCATTGTTTCAGAAACAAAACTGCGAAGACGCCACGTTTCAAGAAATGGCACTGCAAATGGCATTTCCAAGTTGTTGTTTTTTTTCCTCGTATTTTTCGAGGTGTATATTACTATTATTATTCAAGGGCTTGGTTTATAAAATGAATATTATGCTCTCGTCGCTTTGTGTTCGCTGTGGCTGAGATGACAATGTATGATCAGTATATCTGTTCGAAGGAGTGACACTAAATGGCAAAGGACCCTGGAGAATGGTTCAATTTCCGAATTATTTTCTCAATATGAATCTATGTCTTTGTGTTATTCCGACCCGATTTTGTGTCAATTGACTGATTGACTATGAGTTGTTGTACTTTTAAAGCCACTTAGCCATACTACGAGCGTGACAATATGAAGGGCTTCATGGCAAAACACATTATATTACTACAAAAAAAAGACAAATTGTGGAAAATTGAAAAATAAAACCTTACTATCTGAAAAAAGTGTGAATGAAACACAATTTTATCATACTAAATATGGAGCAGTACAATGCATTTTGAGTGGAAAAATATTCGCACGACAATTCTTACCATACGATTACGAAGCAGAGAGTTGACGTAGTAGCACGTTATGTCATGGAACCTTTCATATCTATTATGCAAGGATAGATTAAAACTTTTTGTAGACTAGGTTATTAACATCTAAGCTAGGTGCAGGTTATAAAAAATAATACATTCTTTGGCGCCTGGCACGGTTGCTTTTTTTTTCAAACAAAGTCAGTTACCTTTGTCTTTCTTTGTATTTCTATGTCTGTCTGTCTGTCTGTCTGTCTCTCTCTCTCTCTCTCTCTCTCTCTCTCTCTCTCTCTCTCTCTCTCTCT